ATATGGGTTAATGGTTTACATATCCCCTCAATTACCCATTTGACAGTTGTCATGGTGATACCATCACTATCACTGGATGTTTTGTTTCCACATTTGTTCACTATCTCTATAATTTCCTTTTCAGCTATGGGCTTCAAAAACATGGAACTCATGTTCCTTTCGATTGTATTATTATTTATAGTGACGGATGTATCATCTGTACAGATACTTTTTGCTAAACCAGGACCAACAAACTTTGTAAGGATCAGTCTGAATTTCAGACACTTTAGGATTAAGGTCAGCTTTACATTACAGTTAGGAAAGGGTTGTGGTTAGGCATTCAATTGTGATGGTTAAGGTTAGGGTACTCATTATGTCAGTGTGTGTGCCAGTCTGTCCTCCTTTGTTTGATATCGGATGTCCAGAGACACTCCTGTGTGCACCCAATGGGTCTTTGAAGTATTGTGTTAATAGGCAGGTTATATGTGTGCACCCAATGGGTCTTTAAAGTATTGTGTTAATAGGCAGGTTATATTATGCATGCACCACTGCTTTGGCTCTTCACTGTTTCTAATAACATGACAAAAAGTTCCTTCTTTTCAGGCACCCTAAGTTATTGCAAGAATATCTTTTTAATTTGGCCAGGTGCAAGTCAAAGAATAAAACTTACTGTCAGCGTGACACATTTATTAGATTACTGAATCATGTTTACAGTAATACGAGGGAGCAATATCTTGTGTGGCCCCCACAGGAGGTCTTCTCTTCTGCAGCTGAAACAAATTATAAATCAAGTCTCAGTCGGAGTCATTTCTTTTTGCTGTTGCAAATCAATGGCAAGGTGCAAATGGGATCTCATTTGCCAGTGTTTCTCTTCTTCCAATAATTTTTTAAGAAACAAGATGGGTGAGATTTTTGACATGCACAGACACATGAGAGGGATCAAATCCAGCAGGAAACAGATTCCACTTTAACACCAACTGATTTGTTCTCCTTCCTGTAAATTATCCAGGAGGAGAATTATGAATATTGTATTTACAAATATGGCTGTTTACAACCTTTGATACAGAGAACAAATGATGAGAATTGTTGCTTACACAGTTATACCTGTAGATAAACTGAAAGCAATTACTCAGTAGACAAAAGTGATCAAATATTCTGGTAACTTATTATAGTGTGAAACATGTTCTTCAAATAAAACTTGTGAAAAGTAAAACTATTTTTCAGACAACTGAAGACCACAAAACACAGGGTTATGAACGCCTGGTCCTCCTGTTTGTTTCTATAGCTGCTTTGCTTTGCAGCTAGTGTGTAGCCACAGCTTGTCAGTCTCACTTGTGTAACCCAAAGTCTTTTGTCTGTTGACTGGAGCTTTTCAGTGGTCTTAAGATAACAGGCTATTTCTAGGAAGACCTGAGAAGGAATTGATTCAGTTACAGGAGGTGAAGGAGAGAATGAGCAGACAGGTTTGTAGATACACTATAGAGTCATTTGTCTTTTGAAAGCAAGTACATTTTTGAGCCAGTGGCTGACAGTGTGCCAAGTGTCCATGCGTGTGTATGTTTTTTGATGAGAAAAACACTCATAGTTTTTGCATCACTCACCCAAACGACCAGGATGGTTTCCCCACTTGGAGATCGATGGCAATCTTTAACTGTGTGGATCAAAGGTCTCCATTTATCTCTTAAAACACATACACATCTCTGGACAAAGAGCAGAAAGCACTTATACACACAGCTGGAGAGCACTTTATCCAATCTGTTGACCTTAGCGTGTTGTGTGCAAAACTATCCATCAAGTCAAGTCCATCAACCCTTTGAGGAAAACTGGAAATACCACCATTACTATAAGTGCAATGTAAATCTTATCTGTAGTTGCAACTCTGTTGCTGAAGTGCCAATAGTATCTTACTTATGGATACATCAACTACTGCACCTTGCAAATCATGTGGGATGTCTATGCACTATGTTTTTGTAATCCTGCTTTACCAAACATGGTTAAGAAGAAACAAAATGACTGCCTGGGTTACATTTAGTATAAACATTTTTTACAGATCAAGAATTTAGGCATTCATATTCTACAAAGACGAAAAGAAGGCGTTGGGCTGGATGACTGGGCATGATGAGTTTTAGATGGTTCATGCAATATATTGATTGACCACATCGGAAAACAAGTATTTATAGCTGATCCACAATTGAAGGAAGCATGAAATGATGGCTATAATAAAGATGGTCCAGCTGTAATATTATTTAAACACAGGGATAACTGCAAACATTTTCAGACTGTTTCTGCTGGAAGACTTTCACAGTGCTGCACTCAAATTGTTCACATGAAAAATAATAAATAGTTACTGTAATAGACAAATAATTGTGTGAAGAAAATAACTGTGTAAACAAAAAAGAGAGAAAAGTATAGTTCTTGGCTTCTTTCTCACATCTGCACAGCTGGCTAATCACAGCATAAAATGGACGTGAATATCGCCTTATCAGTTTTGGAAAGTAACAGAAAAGGTTGGGCGCAGCCACACTGATCTGAGTTTGAAAACACACGGGGGTAGCAGGGTTCTGAAGCTATTTTAACACCTGATAAGCAGTTCTGATAGAGAATACTGGCCTCTTAAGACTGCTAAACTCCTGGTTATGGCTAGGGAAACATCATGGCTTTATTTAAATGTTTTAGAAGTTGATGGAGCCCGTGTCATGCATCAAGTCAACACTGACAGTTTTAATATTTAACCAAGTCTCTGATTTCTCCTTAAACTTAATGAAGTGCCGTAAGTTGCCTAAACAAAACCATACAAACGATTATGCTTTAGTTGTCAGTAATAGATATTGTAGAAAAACTAAAATATGTATTAACATTATACAGTCCATTGGCAGCGAACAGTTCCATATTTAATATAAATGCTTCCTCCTGGAATTTTGATTAAAAAAAATGTAATCTGAATGCTATTCTTATAAAATATATTTGCTCAGATTGTTATGAGTTTATGTGCATAATTTTTTTCGGAGACCAAGCTCCCGTCACCAACAGAGTTAATGGGATGTATCCCATTTGGATGCTGGTGATGATTTCCATCTCAGCAAAAGCAACCACAGTGGGTGGGCTCTATTGGGCTCTCGTGTGAGCTATAGCTCCACTTACAACACTACTTTCCTCAGGTTTTGCCATATACTTCAGCATAGTGCATATCCAGTGTGATTCTGACCTGGATGAGTTATAAAAGTTTAATGGTGGCTATTTGACTGTAGTAAATAGTGGTTGAAATTTTAATTTTGTGTACTTCAGAATACCCAGGGTTGTGTAACTCTTCTCTCCATACAGGCTTTGAGTAACAAATGTCAAACATACTGTAGCAGAAACTGGGATACCATGTTGAAAAATGTACCTTAGCTTCTTACTGTAGCTCATTGTCTGCTTTGTAGACAATTTGTAAATGTGAAACCTATGTATGACAAAGTGCACAAACCATTTGCTCTTGTGTATGGGGTCTGAAACCAGAGTTAGACAAGTGCACTTCCGAGTCTCCTGTTTACTTTACCTCTTTGGACTATGAATGAAAGCCCCTAAAGGCCACCTACTACCATGATGTTGCCCAACAGAACCCTTTAAAAGTAATAAAACACAGTATGCTTACTGTGGCAAACAACTGTCCTCAGCTGAGCTCATTAATGACCTGGGAGAAATTGTACACAGGGGCAACCAAGCGCACACAAACACAGGAACCAACAGCAAAATTTGACACAATTTAAGATACCAAGTCAGGGGATCTTTCATTCATTCACAGCATTTATATTAATTCTATAATGTCAATTTAGTGCTTTGTAGACCAAACGAAGCATTCAATTCTATAGCTAAGAAGGAGGCTCTGTATTGGAGGGCGAAGAGAGTTGGAGTAATATGGTGTCTTATTCCTGACAATCCTAAAAGTAATTTCCAATCAGAATTAAGTCAGAATGATACCGTAATATAGATTTACAGTAAGAAATAACATGCAGGTTGTAATTGCAGTAATTTTTTTTAACACCATATCATTTAAAAAAAAATCGTCCATCCATTTACAACTTCTAATATCCTAATACACAAATTCTATTTCCTGGGCATTACAATTCAATACCAGGTTGAGTCACCTTGACCAGAAGAGACTCGGTGTGATTTGACAGGCTGCCAGTATTTTAAATACCTACACATGGGCACACACATGCCAAGACATAAAGACAAGTATATTCCCTATTGTGCACAAAACAATAGAAGAGTGTTTAGTCAAATGAGAATGTAAGGGACAAAACAAACAAAAAACATTCGGTTCTGGCCTCAGTGAAATGATACACTGTAAAATCTAAAAGTAAAGAAAATATAATTGAAGGGACTAGAAGCTGATGTAATGTGCTCATAAACTAAGGTTGAGGTCAGATCATCTATCTCAGTTGTGATTAAACACCTTTCCTCCTGTGCTTTGAACAGCTTCCAACAATGATGGATTTATTGTTACTGCAACTTTATGATTCCTCTCCTTAGAAGACTCATTAACTGCATTTATCACAAAAGAAAGATTTGTCATGATAGTTGACCTTTGCTCCACTGTCAAAAACTGGCAAAACTTTGCAATCATAGTGGCTATAAATCTCTCCGAATATGGCAGTTGGCAATATGAGATATACCAAGTTACACTGTGGTAGTTATAAGCCATCATGGAAAGAGGTTTACAATATGCAACAGAAAGTTATAGTTAAACTCCTTTGGGGTTGGGTCAGTCTAGCTCATGCCTCTTTTGTCTAATATTAAAAAGTTTAATTACATAAAAAAAATTGGCATGAGATTTAAAAGAGACGTTTTTTTTGCTGGGTATAATCAGGAGGATTTGTTCACAGTTTAAAAAAAAATAAATAAATCAACATGCCTCAGTTCTCAGTGTTCTTCACTGACAAATGAAGAGCCCAGAGTGGACAAATACAAGTTGTCTTGTCGATTTTTCGCCTTTCATTTCTTTAAAAACTTTGCTCTTTTCTGTCCTTCCTCCACAGAGGGATCCCAGGGAAGAAATGTGGCACTATCATCCTGTCTGCAGAGGAGCTGAGCAATTGTCGAGTGAGTAAGCCACAATAATCCCCCCTGCCAAGCACACATTAGCAAGCAAACTTCGTTCAGCAAAGCCTAGATGAACAGAATTTGTGCATAAAGTGGACTGAGCAGAATGGGAGTTTGAATGGGCAATAAAAATGTAGGTAATCAGCCACAGACAAAGGAAACATCCTGTTGACTTCATTTAGTCCACTTGGAGAAAAGATCCCAGAACAATCAAATCTGTGTTCGTTCATACCGCAGTGTATTCCACTGTCATTTTGTCTAAAGCCTGCTACTAATCAGTCTGAATTCAAGAGATCTGTTGCATCTGTCTGTCTGTCTGTCTACCTACCACACAACCAAACACACACACACACACACACACACACACACACACACACCCTTTTCAGACTATAACAGACGGGGCCGCTGCTCTCACACTGCAGAGTGCTCCGTAGTCTAATGACATGGCCCAGGAACATGATGGGGTGAGTGCTGACTGTTCCCTCAGCGAACAGCTGCGGATGCTTCACTGGGCACCCATAGCACAGATTAGAAGAGGATACCAAAAAGCAAGACAGAGCAAGTGGCACAAAGAGGGACACAGAGAGGGAGCAAGGGAAAAAGAAAAATGGTACAATGAAAATGAAAGTGCAAATGTGCAGTGATAAGATAGAGATGAATAGAGCTTTGTGTGTGTGGAAGAGAGAAAGGGAGTGAGCCAGACAAACAAAAACAGATACAAAGACAGTGAAGTGAATCAATGGGGGGGTTATATCACATCCAGTGTGTATCAGCTGTCTTATATAAATACAGCTTGGCTGTTGATAGCACGAGACCATGTGTTGGTTAATTAAAACGCAGCCCTGCCTGACCTTGACACCCCTGTAAGCCTGTAGGACACACACAGAAAAGCATACACATTCACATACAATCTTGTATTTACTGTATATATAAACACATATGCGCAAACATGCACATCCACAGACTTGTTCACAACGTGTTGTGATACTCATTTACATAGTAGAAACACAACCATATTAACAACGAAAGCCTTGTTGCATTTGTTAGCTGCATAGATTAGAATATGAAATGAGATGGATGGCAAGGCAGCGATGGAGACAGACTATTGTAGTTATCAAAGGGGTTATAATCAATATTCTTATATTAACTATGGACCACATCACTACTTGCATGTTAAAGGGGCCAATCATAATAACAACCTCACAGCTTTGTACCAATATGCTGTCCTCCTCAAGTTGTACAGAGCTTTACATCTTTTAGCTTATTGTTTGATTTTACAGCTCACAACTTTACTGTTTTGGTGCTCTGCTATTATTGGCCAAAAATCTGGAACTGTATGCTACCAGGCCAACAGCGGGATGACAGGATTAGCAACTACATGGAGCACAGTACTACAAAGCAGTACAGTATTTAGCTGCTAAAGAGTCAGACAGCTGGTGGAGACCAAAAACCAGAGTTAAAAGAGTGTACATATTGGACCTACATTAATAATGCAAATCTAAATGAATGCCAATGTTGGTGTGTCTGCTGGACATGTGAACAGGCTAGCTAACGAGATAGTCAAATAAACTTTTATGGTGATAATGTCAGTGTTTGATTTGGTGCTCATGTGGCCAAATCGATTACTGAAGATTTAAAGATTGTCTGAATAAACGGACTGGTGATTAGTGATATCACTTATTTAAAAGCTGGCTGCTTTTACTAATAACAAATGATGCCACCCTTTACATGCTGTCTTGGTTATTTACATCCTTTCTCCCAGCAGCAGCAAATGACATCTGCTCTTTTAATGAAAAACTGTAGGCTAGCGGTTTGTTTCCTTGCGATTCTCAGAAGCTCATAGTTTGCATATGACAGTGACAGGCGGAATGTACAATAGTATTATCAACCTGGTATTATTTAGATTGCTGATAATGTAGTTACTTTCTACTGTGTCCCCTGTTGAAGACAAAATATTGATTTCCCCCAAATTAGCCTACTTATTTTAGATATTGTGGGAGCCAAATTGTGATTATATGTTCATTTAATATGTTCATTTAATTATATATCTTGCATTATGTAAAATTCATTGTGAGTATAAGGGAATAGTCTATTTCATTTGACGAGATAGGCAATGTCAGCTAAATTCATTTCCTTATTAATGTTTAACTCACAGTTATGAGTGCCGGAAGTATTCTCTTGGACACGCAAAGGTACACGAGTCAAGGAAACATCGCTCAGAAATGTCAACCCCCACAGATATTGATCTATTAACATAGGAATCCATTCTAGAACAGGAAACGTTAGGATTGGTAGTAACAGCATTTCAGGATTGATCTGCACATCACTGCTTAGCACCTTCTAGGCTCAGTTAGCATCTAAGCTTGGAGTCCTACTATAGCCACACCTGAGAGTGACCTGAAAGTATTTGTTTAATTACTGTAAAATATACTGTAACTGTATCACCTCTTGTCTACAAACTTTTACATCTGGACAAAGTCAGGAAACATGAAGCTGCTAATGGAGACCCAGCCATGCTTATCTTCTTCACCATGTCTTAGAGGCGGCTGTTCTTAAAAATTTCACCTCTAGCTATGACTATTGCAGAGATGGATGGATTTGGGGCTCTGCCGACGTCTTTAGGGAAGGTCTACTGCACATTCTAAGGATCTTTACCCTCAACAGAGATTAAGCTTTTATACCCAGCCTTAATGGCAAAAACATATTCTGTATCCTCCTTTGTTCCAAAACATTGCTGTAGCTATGTGATCCTCACATTGAGTAAAATATTCAAATCTAAGATTTCTAGTGTATAATTTTACACATTTCCCTGCAATTCAGCCTGACGCATGTTCTTTTGGGAAACACTGGGATCTCGACTAGAATTTCAATTAAAGTTCAGTGGGTTTTGCAAAATGCTTGTCGGCACAACACGAGTTTGTAATGATGGACCTGTCTGTAGGTCTGGGCAGGTTGAGAGGTTAACATGCATTTGGCATTCATGAAGTGACATTATTCAGCAGTTTCCATTCATGGTGTAGTCTCAGAAGAAGTGATGCGAGATGTTTTTATGTTTACATACCCTGCAGTAAGAAAACAGTCCATTCATAAACTGTCCTGATGAAACTGTATCATGTCTGCACATTGTTTTCAGTCAGACCCACCGTATACTGCAGACTGGCTAACTCTGGTGCTTGCTCTTTGTAGAAACTCTGCCTAATACCAACCTTCTTTGTGATGCAGAGAGTGGTGTGCAGTTTTTGTTTATCTAATTTTTTGGAAAGTACTGTAGTGTTTTACTAGTTTGAAGGGGAACTGCATTAAACAACCCTGTTTAGTTTAAATTCCTTCAGGAGGTACTCAAAACTTTTGTGTAGTAGTGTCTAATACTGTATGTTATGGACAGGAGATAGCAAAAACGTGAACACCAGTGACGTGCGGTCAGGGGAGGTCAATCTTGAAAAGAAAAGAAAGATAACCATAAAATATAATAAATGTTAATATTTGTCGGCTGGTGTGTGTTGTAGGCCCTTTTGCCATTCGAATCCGATGTTGAAGGAATTTTTTTCAATAAAGAATAGCAGAATTTCCGTATGTCCCGTTCAAATACATGGAGGAGATGCGCGATGAGGCAGCACTTTGCTGTGCCTCTCGGTGGATCGTGTAATCCTCACAAACTGTATGCGATGCAAATAGTGTGTCGCTGTCCCTCTATATATCGCAAATAAAATGCTTTCTGATTATATGCTCTGCCTTGCCATAATCTGGATAATGTATAAAATGTAGTTCTGTAACGTGTTTAGGCTGCAGATTAACCATAAAACCCAGTAAAAAAGTTACTCGGTGAGGCAAACAGTACGCCTGC